TGCCCTTCCCATATTAGATTCTTGATGAATGTGTGTTGTTGTTATTCAGCCTGGTTCAATGTGCCCCTTTTTAACTTTGAGCACCCGCCCCTTTAAACCTCTCTGCACGGCCCTGGTGTCAAATATTATCAAATTTGTCTTATCTTGAATCTCATTGTTTATGTGTACATCATTAATCCTGTAGGAAAATGCTTAGTCTTCTGCATTTAACCCATTCACTCAGTGATGCAGTGGGCAGCTACAAATCCAGGATAGCCGCTGTTCGTTGGATTTGTACGCCCAACCTTCTGATCATGTGGCATCTACTGAGCTAGCTGTACCCCGAGAGCTGTTCTTTAAGTGATGATGTATGAATCCTGCTTCCGGGCCTAAACTACTCTGTGTTTATTAAGCCTGTTGTGCTGTTAAAATGTTTTAATGCTTTTTATCTTGTTCTATTACATCTGAACAAGCCCCTAAAAACAGTCAGTGATCACTGTCAGCCTAGCCATCGGGAACCATCACGTTAACTTTTATCAAGTGGAAAAAAGTTAGCATTCATCCTCCAGCTTCACTGTGTTTATATTATGCTAACATAGCTGTGTCGCTAGCAATCATGTAGCACATCACTATATAGAGAGAAAAAATTAGCAGCCAGCCCGAGTTGAAGAAAGAGTTTCTCATAAAGGAAAGGCAAAGATGGAGAAATAGAGTGAAAATGAGAAAAATAAAGAACATCAGTGATTCTGAAAGAAAGAGAAAAAAGGCAGCAGAGAAGTTTTTGGAAGAAAGCACAGAGAGACAAAAGGAGAGAAAGTACAGCAGGGTCTAAACACACAACCAGAGTACTTTAGGAATCAAGGAGTAGTAGGCGGCTTCTTGCTGGTAAACTATTAAGATGTAGAACTTGACATGTGCAAAAACAGAATTGTTATGATGTGTCTTGTGATATTACAAAGGTTGCTAAGGTTTAATGGTCATTTTGAAAGAAATAATATCTTGTTATTGTCACCACCCTCAGCACCTTGTCAACTCCGTAATATGGAGTTTTGGTTTATTTTTCTCTTTTGGAGAACCATATATTTTCCTCCCTTCATTTCCAATAAAAACACGTAATTTTCTCAATAAATGTGTAATTTGCATTCTGCTTAATATGATTGTTTCTTATAGAGATTAAATACAAGCTTCTGAAAATATGTATGTAAAATATGTAAAATGTTTTTTTGTTTTTTAAAAAAAAGATTGGTTTCTGATGCTGTTCTACAGGTAACAGTTATAGCAAAGCTTAAGAATAATGTCAGAGTTGCCAATTCAGCCAAACCCATGCCTTTTTGTCTTTTCTCAGATTATTTCTCAGTGTTGTCTGGTGAAGTTGAAGCACTGTGAACTATGAGGTATTAAAAACACCCTGGTTAGTGTTTATGTCATCTTTGCCTGTTCAGTAACACTTCTTCTGCCCAGTTACTGAAATTAAAATTGAAATTCAGTCTCAGTATTTATGGTTAATTTTGAACCTTTCACCTGCAGATGCTTCCAGAAGATAAAGTGCACGCTGAAATGTTTGCTCTGGGTTCCGGCTGCACTCTGTGCTCTCTACTTCACAAGTCCATCCATGCAGTGAGTATCTTTAAACAAAAAACACAAAAAAACCCTCAGCTGCCAGTTTAATTCGACATCCCTGAAATGGCATTCCTGCAACACAACTACATGGATCCAACAGGGATCGTTTTGGAGATGTAGATTTTGTTGTTTTTGAAATATGTGGCTGGCTTTTCTTGTGTCCACTCTGTTTGAATCACTGTTGTAAGGTAAATGACAGAGATATCATTATACATATTACCACTAAACATAATCCAAAATGTTCCTTTAAATAAAACAACCTTAATCATGTTTCTTTCTAAATATAGACTAGATTACATTAGTAAACAAGGTGCGTACTATCGGGTCGTTAAGTCTGACGTCACTAGCCGTGTCTGGGCCTAAACTCCGCTGCAGGTCCATATATCAAACGATCACTATGGCATTACTGAGAGTTGAAAAACTGTCTAAAGTCTTT